ATTTTGTTTCTGTATTTACGTTGTAACTCGTGTTTCCTCCGTCAGATGTCACTACGTTTTGGTTCGTGAGTGCTCAGTCAGATGTCCAAGTGTTGTACGAGTTAACGACTACGCTCTGGTGTGGTCCATAGAATGATTCTGCAGTGATTCGTGTGATTCCGTAGTGATTCGTGTGACTCTGTAGTGATCCATTTGATACTATATTGATCCAAGTAAGCGATTGATCTACTTGAATGATCCTAATGGTGACCTAAATGACCATATAGTGATCCAAGTGATCCTCTCATGGTGGACCGTAGGAGAGAGAGAGAGAGAGAGAGAGAGAGAGAGATTGACAGACATAGACAATCAGACTCATAGAGGCTGGCTACCTGGGACAGACAGACATTAGCCTACACTGCCAAGGTAACAGTCACACCCTCGTAGAAAAACTCTAGACAATTGTTTTGCATTATTAATTATTTTGCATTTTTATCAATATATAAAATCAACTTCCTGTGTCTCCGTACCAAATATTTATTGTACTATAATTGACAGTAATATGTATAATTTATCTATTATATTTTTGTGAGTTTAGATTATAGTTAAGGACAAAGATGACTCATAATTTTCAAGTGGATTATATTTACTTATAACACTAGAGATAAGGATTCTTCTGGTCATAGTGTTACCTTAATTATATTTTGTGGTTTAGGTTAGGGTTGAAGGTAATTTTAACATTATTGATTTCCAGAGAAATTACCTTTTTGGAGTGTATAATGGAGATAGAGCCAAAATAATTCCTGGTTATATTTTGGGGATTATATTTTTGGAGTTGAAGACCCTTGTGGATATAGTAATTTATAGATTATGTTTAATGAAGATGAGAAAGAGCCTTTAACTATAGTAATTCCTGTTAAGATTACCTTTTTTCGTTAAGTGTTAATGTTTTGGTTACGCTGATTACTAAGTAGATTATATTTCTGTGTAAGTAATTGACGACTCTTGTGCTTATAGCAATTACCAGTGGATTATCTTTCTTGGTTAGGTTAAGTAATTGAGGACTCTTGTTGCTAGAGTAATTACCAAATAGATTACCTTTCTTAGTTATATACTAGAGTTTGAGAACCTTTGTAACTATGATAATTCCTAAATAGATTAATTTGTTATCAGTTTGAGGTGAGGATCCAGGCGATTATACTGTAGTAATTCCTATGTAGATTACCTTTGTGATATATTTTCATTAATTGCTTTACCTGTTATAGAAGTATTAGACTGAGGTACGATTTTATCTGTTGAAAAAAAAAGGAATTTATAATTTAAAACAAAGGTATTGCTATTATTAAATTAAAGGGGGAAATTCCCAGCTCGTGTTGCATAATTAATGTATAAATAATTGAACTGGGAATAAGTATTTATTATTAACGCAATTAATGGATATGTTCGGGTAGGTAATGTTTTGTTTTAATATTGTTACCTGTGTTGGTTTGGGGATCTCTCTCTCTCTCTCTCTCTCTCTCTCCATAAAGTCACAAGGTGTTATGGCCTGAGAAAAACTCAAGGGTGGTGGGCGGCAGGGTGGGTGGAGGATAGTGGGTGGCAGGTTGGTGAGCGGAAGGTGTTGAGCGGCAGGGTGGTGGATGACAGCTAGTGGGTGGCAAGGTGGTGGTTGCCGGGTGATGGTGGGGTGGATGACGGGGGTGGATGACGGTGAGTGGGTGGCAAGGTGGTGGTAGGGTAGTGGGTGGTGGTGGTGTGATGAGTGGGTGAAAGGATGGCTGGGTGGTAGGGAATGGGTGGCTGAGTTTTAGTGGATCGGTGGCTAGGGATAGGGAACGAGTGGATGGATGAAGGTGGCTGGATAGCAGTGGCTGGGTGGTAGTGGATGGGTGGCAGTGGATGGGTGGCAGTGGATGGGTGGCAGTGGCTGGGTGGCAGAGTGTAATCAAAGGCACTGTGTTAAGTTGGGCGGTAGTGAAGGAGCTTGTTTGACTATACCTTCTGACTCTGTTAAGTTTGGTTCCCATGTTGAGTTGAGCCTCAGCCAAGGTGCTTTGATGTGTGTGTGTTCTCTCTCTCTCTCTCATTGCGGTAGAGAGTCGGGGGAAGAGAGAGATATAAAGTCAGAGTCTAAGAGAGAGAGAGAGAGAGAGAGAGAGAGAGAGAGAGAGAGAGAGTCGGAGGGCCAGAAGGTAATCCAAATTCAGCATCATAAAGGGACTACCAACACCTGTCCTATTTTGGTCTAGTTTTTCTTATGTGACAATGAGACAGACAGCGTCACGAGAGAGAGTGAGAGTGTGTGTTCCTGTGTGTGTGTGTCGTATTTTTCTTATTCCTTTTTAACCTTGTGGTGGCCTGGAGGGGAGAACCATATATCATTGTTATCCTCCGAAGCGTAATATAGTTAACAGTGGGGAGAGGCTAAGACAAGAGGGAGGAATAAAGGCAGTGAATGATAGCAAAAGTTCGACTGTAAGCTATCAGCAACACATAGTAAAGAATAACATAGGTGATGGTGTTTGTTATGATTGAAAGAATGGATGATGGATTGGGTTGTTAATGACGGAAGTGATGATGGAAATAGAAGTTGAAGAGAAGGAGGAAATAGATAAGGGAGATAATAGGAAGTGAGAGACTTTGTGGATACTTATGACTGTAGACTGGTTAGTACTGGAGTGGTGCCTGGGGGGAGGACGTGACTTTGATAGAGAGTAAAGAAGTTTTGTGGTAATATAAGATGTAGGAGCTGAAAAGAAGAAGAATTATAATCAAGATATAACAAAGATGATAGTTTAACGAGCTCAATTTGGTATCACACCTTATCGAAAGCTTTAGAATGATTACGAACAACACGATAAGTTTCTCGTCCAAGTTATTACGAGTCAAGGAGAACGAACAGTTGTTTAGTACAATGGTTGGAAGGAAGGCTGTTATGAGTGATAGATAGGAATTGTGATCGTGTTTAAGGTGTTTTAGTAAATGATTTATGATAACTTCATGTGACTTTAAAAATCATTGAGGTTAGACGTGTGGGTCGATAGTTGGAGATTAGAAAAATGCATCACCTTTTTTGAGAATAGTGAAAAAAATGTATCGCCTTTTTTTTTTAATACATTGGCTACTAGTTACATACCGAGACAAGAATGAACAACATAGCAACACAAGACAATGGGGGAAAAAGCTTGCAGAAAACAAGAGCAAGTTCTGGTACACATATTTTCAGGGTGAGAGGTGGGATACCATCAGGTGGGGGGGGGGGTGGATGGTCTTTGTTTGGTCTGGACAAGAGAGCAGAAAACATTAGACAAGTACACAATTTAGGTGGTTGGCTGGCGTAGGAAAAATCTGGTGTAAGTACATTGTTACCAGGACCAGGGGGTGACTAGTGAGTAAACATGGAAGTAGAAGACTGGTTGTGTTTTGTGCTGTGGTGCTGGTTGTAAGATTATGAAGGATGGGGAGTGGGGAGAGATAATGGTGGGGTTAAGAAGTTGGTGCAAAACAATTTAGTTTGTGGCCTATCCTTTTGTGTGTGTGTGTGTGTGTGTGTGTGTGTGTGCGCGCGCACGCGCGTGTCTGTCTGTCTGTCTGTCTGAAGACAGAAATTATGTGCACTTTAGTGGGTATGTGAGGATAAAACAGACATTGTGTGTGTGTGTGTGTGACAGAGGAAGAGAGAGAGAAACAAATGAGCAAGACGGACACACAATAACATATCCAAGTGGCAGGGCGTGTCTGAACAAGGCCAGTTAGCTAGACACTCACAGACCAGTCAGTTCGTAATACTGTACTGCGTAGCTGACGTGATGACTGGTGTATAGTGCGCACGGTAGCTGGGGTCAAGGAGGTAGCTGGACACGAGCACAAAGGCAAAAATAAGACGGTTATGAAAGACAGCGAGGACTGGCTAAACAGATTCCAACTCCGTCTCTCTCCTTCTCAACATTCACACGTACAATATATATATTCTCTCGTAAATGGGGGGATGAAGGAATATTAAAAAAATAATAATAGTAATCCTTAGGTACGATAGAGCAATGCCAAAAAAAAAACATTAATTAGGCGCGATATAGTCACAGTGCGATTTTGATGTCATTTTCACAGCGTAATTGTTATGCCTTAGCTGGAATGAGACTGTTAGAGGCGTACTTATGTGCTCCAGCGAGGGAGAAATTTTACCAGCACGAACCTCTGAGTGTCAAGGCCCTGGATAACACAGTCATTCCTAAGTTCATTATTAATCCTATTAGCTGGTGATGGGAGGGGGAGAAGGCACCTCACTGACTTAACTCAACCTAAGGTATATACAAAGCTGGTTAACCAAAATGGCGACGGGATTGCACTGAGACTTTAGGGGAATCTTTAGGAATTTGGATCCAAGAGATTTAGCCCAGGAGGGGTGGGGTGAGGGGAGAATTAAGGGGGTAGGGGGCTTGTCTCCCCTGGCGCCAATTTCACGTTTACGGCCGCTCGTATTTTTTATCAAGTTTTCTGGTGTTATGTGCAGCAGTACTGGTGTTATGTGTAGTGGTACCGGTGTTATGTGTAGTGGTACCGGTGTTATGCGTAGTAGTACTGGTGTTGTGTAGTAGTACTGGTGTTGTGTAGTAGTACTGGTGTTATGCGTAGTAGTACTGGTGTTGTGTAGTAGTAATGGCGTCTATGTAACAATGAGACTCTTTTATTTCCCACTTGCACATTTCTTACCTAATGAGCTGACATGGGTGGAATCTCCTAGAGCCAATTCCTCTCCAGCAGCGGCGGTATCACTGACTAATTATTGTTGAGTTAGAACTTCCTTCGTGTGTGTGTGTGTTCAATAGACTTTTCATGTAGTTTTGATTTGGTTTTGGTCTAATGCTGTCTTCTGAATTTGATTATTATAAAGAGACAAAGATTTATAGATAGACAAGCAGAGAGAGAGAGAGAGAGAGAGAGAGAGAGAGAGAGAGAGAGAGTACTAAAACGCCTACTAATTGGGTATACAGTCTGAATTAAACAGTTGTATTAGGGTTAATTCTAGCTTTTATTCTCGACAAAAACTTTACAAACTTTCTCACCTCCTCCTTCAAAATATCTATTAATATCCACAAACGTATATAATCTTTTATTGTCCTCAAATCTATTTAACACTCGGGTATTTCATCTACATTAGTATTACCTGAACGAGGCAGTGCCAACCTTACCCCTCAGTGATATTCTATAATTTATAATATTCTGAACTTGGGGATGTCACTTGTCATATATAGTGTCGAGGGGAACTTTTCTCTATCTCTGTTGACTAGAATTTGCACGATTTCCAGCTACTTATAGTGATTTTTTTTTTTAGCCTCGAATGAGCAAGGAATGAGCCCCTCACTACTGTTACTTACTGCCTGGGAGACACAACAGAAGGGGGGCGGGATATACAACAGTGGGAGGTGGGGGGGGGGGTTAGCTCAGTAAAACAGTGAGACGAATGACACGTCGGTACCAGAAGTTACCAGGAGGCTGACGTGTGAGCGAGGGTTGTCTGACGAGGAGGTTTTATTGTTTCTTCAGTCCACAGAGGCAAGAAAACTGACCAGTGGGTGTGAGTTTCTTTGTTATTTATTGTTACATATCAGTGTTGGTCAGTGACGAACTTTTGGGTTCTCAATACGTCACACACATCCCATTCTTGGAGAGTTCTTACATAACATGACACACATACACAAATATATATATATACAGTATAGGACACGTGTATAGCCTGTCATAATTAAAGCTTGGTTGGGAGTATTATTTTAACTGGTTTTAAGTTGTAGATAAAAAAAATGGTTGCATGGGTTGATATTCCTTTGCCTCTGTGAACTTTAGGAAGACAGGAGGTCGAAGGTCATTCAGGAGAGCCGAGAGTATTGGATTATAAAGACACAAGAAGACGCTACTGTTGCTCCCGGAATTTTTCAACAACACACCCCAAAAACAGAGTAATCCATGTCTTGTCTGGGGGCTGCTGTGTTGACGTTATAAGGGCTACCCTCTATTTATCGCCAGTGGTAGGGTTATAACATGACAGCGTTTCTATGGGTCACATTCATAATGACAGACAAGCTAGAGTTAAGTGATATCATATAAAAACAACCTTTTAGGGCGGCTGGGGTCGAGTTGGAACCTCTGTCGATATCTAAAGGGCAGCCCCGGAAGTAAGATAACGGCCTCTGGTGACGTCTATTGTGTGGGTGGGTGAGGGTAGTGGAGGGGGCGGTGGGTGGGTGGGTGAGGATTTGTGGAGGTCTTGGTTGTCTTGCGGTTTATGGAGGGTGGTTGAGCACTGGTTGGCTGGGACGGGTTAGCACCAGCTGGAAGGGGGTGGGGCTGCGGGTCTCTCACTTTGGTGGACTGGCGGGTTGTGGGTTCTTGTGAGGTGGTTTGATGAGGGGTTGTGGTAGTGGTTGTGGATTGGTGAGTGGTTATGACATGTGTGAGTGGCTGTCGACTTGTGATCTGCTTGGAGGCGACGTAACAAGCAACAGGTTGACGTCTCCTGGCGCGTTGGGGGGGTCGCAGCATGACTGGACTGCCGGTGTCGCTGTAGAGGATGTCGCTAAGGTAATCGGTGGGCAGGTCGGAGAGGTCAGAGAGGCCGTTCACGTCAGAGAGATCAGAGAGCCCCTCGTCCATCGACCCACACAGTGTTCGCTGCGGCTCCTCGTATATGTGACTGGTGGAGAGCTCGTCCCAGCTACGACTGGCTCTGAGTGGGACCTGCGGCGAGGAGTACAGCTTGCTGCTGTCGCTGCTGCTAGAGAGGACCGCCGTGTCATTGGTGTGAGGGACCCCGTGCTCCAGGGAAGCCTTGGTCTCCTCGTCAAAGTGGTAACAGTTCTCGGGAGCAGCCGCGTACAATTTGTAACTTGGGAGGGAACACGTGAAGACCTCGGAGGTTGGGAGAGGTTTCATGGCCTTCCGTGGGGTAAGGGGCAGTATATGGGCCCGAGGGAGGTCTTGGTCCTTGTCCACACGAAGCTGAAGAAAGTCGTCGCCGGCATCAAGGCGCCCAGCTGTTTGTGATGCTGTGAGCGGCCGCGCGTGGCTCCACACTAACTGAAAGTCTGAAGTCACGTAGTCTAGGCTCTTGTGATCACGCTTCACCTTCTGGTAGTTGTTGAGTGATAAAGCAGCTATAGTCTGAGCGTGTTCATTCTTGGGTCTGGCCTGTTGCAGTGTGTACACTCCCAGGGGATGGATCATTTTGATTGCAGAGGGATGAACAATCTCCACCGTCCTCTTCTGACAGCAGTAGCAGTTGAGGGCGCAGCACTGACCGGGTTGGCTGATGGTGAGGGCGGCGGCTGTGAGCAGCATGCCGCCCATCACCACTTCTAGCCCGCGGGAGAGAGTGAGGCGACACCACCACTCCCACGCTTGGTCTGTTGGGGACACAGGCACTACTAACACGTAGAGGTTGATGCCGGCCAGGAGGAGCTGTGTGATGGTGCCCACCAACACCAGGTGGGCGGGCGGGCTTACGCTAAGGCAGCTTTCATGGCCGGGCCCCACCACGTCTGTCAAATGGGACGAATGACCTCTTCTCGCCGGCCACACCGCCCACATGCCACCCACTCCCACCGCACCACCCCAGGTCACAGTAGCGACTCTCGTGGTCAACATGATAGGCAGGTCAACAAGCTCCAGCAAGCCCACAGTGAAGTGAGTCACGGGAAGTGATACAAGATGCGTGGCGGTGATCAGGGTGATGGTGAGAGCTATACAGGGGCGGCGTGGGTGGTGCCACGCCACCACGACGCCCACTATCATTACTGCCAGTGCCGCCGTCAAACATGGCCACCCACTTTCTTCTACAGCCACGAGCATCGTCGCCGGCAGCAGGTGCTGGATGGCGTGAGCGTCGTGGAGGATGTAGAGTCCACGTGAGAAGGCTGAGAGGAAGACAAGGAAGTGGAGGGTGAGGTAGTGAGGCCGTGGCAGGAGGCGTGTGGCAGCAGCAGCGCGCGCCATGAGGCACAAGGACGCTATGGCCAGTAGAGTGTACAGCACAACGGACACGTACACGTGCGCCCACCAGGCCACGCCGAGGCTCATACGGACATCAGCAGTACTAACAGTCGTGTCTATCTTGATGGTCCCATCCTCGCCCAGGACAACAGTGGTGGTGGTGGTGAAGGAGCCGCTGATGACACGCTCACTGGCCCCCGGGGTGGTCCCGGAGTCACCACCATAGGTTGGCACAACATCAACTTGGTATGATGTGTCTTTTTTACCGCTGGGTACTTCGTACTCGATCTTGGGCACCTTAGATGTGCGGTTGGTGGGTTGTCGTGGGCTGTAGCTCTTACTATCGGTCCCAGGTGTTGGAGGAGGCGCTGAAGGTAGCAAACTTTTGAACACTTGATCATTGCCAGGTGCAGCGGCAGGAGTAGGAGGGGCAGTGGTGGTGGTGGGGGCACCGTAAGCTACACCCCTGAAGATGGCAGCGATCTCCCTCTCCCTAGTAGAGGCTCCTGGCCTGGGTAGTGCCTCGCCCTCCACCACCGTCTTGGTCATACGGCGAAGCTCCCCCGCCAGTGAACCATCACTGGTCCTGACGCAGAGGAGACAAGAACCGAGGGAGAGGACTAGCACGGCCCGGAGCGCCCACATGGCCCGCTGCCCGCCCATGCCGCCGCTCAACTCAGCCGCCTCACACACACGCTGCTCCTCACGCTGGCTGCGGGAACAATAACACAAAGTTAGATGCACAGCGCATATGAGTCTAACGTACACACGCGCCCAGAGAAGAAGACAGGAGTGGTAGAGGAACTAAACAAAGCCATCTAAAACCATAAATCTGGTGTGGACGGGAAGGTGCGGTGCCGGAGAGGGGCAGAGGATGACTGAGAGAAATTATGATGTGTTACTGGTAAAGTGCTACTAGTAGTGAGTGAGTGAGTGAGTGAGTGAGAGTCCAGTACATAAAACAGAAGAAGGTAAAAATATAAATCCTGACTTATAGATAATTGTCATCTTAGTGCTGTTAAGAGGACAACTATGACCCGCTGGTGGGAACACAGTTAGAATTTGGGAAGAAAAAAGTTAGAAATATCTCGGATTTCTTTTAACACCTGCAATTTGTAGAGAAAGTTTAAGAAGAAAGGAGAAAAAAGTTGCTGAATTTATGAAGTTTGAGAAGGCACGTGATAAAGTCAGCTGAAATGGACCTAGAAGTTTTAGTTGCATACCTAACTTAAACTAACCTAACCTAACTGAGCCTGGGAGATTGTTGTATGATGTTACGTGTTCCTGTGGAGGAGAAAGTGTAGTGTGTGTGGGGGAGGGGTGGGTGGGTGGGTTATAGGGAGGAGGGGGTGTATGGATTTAAGGAGACAGGATGGGAGTTGCTTCATGAAGTTGGAGGGGAGGGAGCTTAAGGAAGTGAATAGTCATATACACAGTGTTGAAGTTGAAAAGATTTATAGGACCACCCGGCCCTGTGTGTCTGGGGCCGTGCTAGATATTTATTGACGGGGGGGGAGGGAGATGAAGCTGAGAATTGTTGGCTGTGGCTGAGGGATAAATCATCGAGCCACATAATGGATGCCGTCACAGTTGTTGTGTGTGTGTGTGTGTGTGTGTAAGCAGTTTAGACTTGTTTAGTCTGTAACCAGTATAGCAACCAGAGTATTATACACTATGGATGAATAAGTTTTCATTATGCATTTTACATTGAGCTGTTTTCATAGCCAGCATGTAGTAAGCATTTATTTTGCCTGCTCAAACGCAGCTGCTTTGGTCAGGTGTACGGTCTGGCGACAGTGTGTCGACCAGAGATGTCTCAATATGACGATATCACCTTTGAAGCTCATTACTTATTCAATTAATGACTCTTACTTGTTAACTAGGTACAGTTATTATCACTAGTAGACTTCCAAGTAATTGATGTAAATTATTAGTCAGATTAGTTAGAAATTTGCAACGTCAATTAAGGATGATTCACGGTTCAACGAGATTATTTTCCAGACAGCTATTTCAGTAACGCTGCTGACACTGATTCAGGTGTTCATGCCGAGGAATTGTCTCATACCGATCCTCCCTGCTGGTAGAAGCTTGAAGAAGCTTGAACCCATGCATCATCCTTCGTGACGTCATTGTCAGTTAGCCCGGGGTTAGGTTCGCCCTGGAAGAGCTAGGCAGTCTTTAGCTGGACACCACACATTACTGATCTACCACTGAGCAGTAGACTGGGAGACCCCTTCAGTCCTAGCAGATCTGAATAGTAACTCTAACACTGCACTCAAGCTCACAGTCCTCAGTGTCCGTCCACTTATCTCAGAGATGAACTAAGATAGATGGGATAAACACGATTACATATCCTCCCAGCCAATGACGAGTCACGTAGGGATATAAGGACTGAAGCCTAAAAATCCTTTGGATTATCCCCTAAACAACAACTAAATTATCCGTCATCCAACAAGGTAACAGTTCACGAGTGTTGAAGTGTGAGAGTAATGCAAAAAATAGATAGATAAATAGATAGATCTCAGATAACATAGTGTGGTAGCTCAGTTTGGTATAGTTATATTGTGAGATACTGTAGTCAAGGAATGTGCAGGCCTCGATTTAACTGTTTCACTGCACATGAGTCTGCCGTAAATGAATTTATAGTAGTTGCTTATAAGGCTCAATGCACCTGCTCCTACCCCCCAGCGCCACTTACCTCGAGGATGGAGGTGGCATAGACAGACAAAGAGACGGAGAGATAAAAAGGGGTAGTAAATGAGGCAGGCAGGGAGAGAGAGAGGGAGAGAGGGAGGAGAGAGAGGGAGGGAGGGAGGAGAGAGAGGGAGGGAGGGAGGAGACGGAGGGAGGGAGGGAGGAGAGAGAGAGAGAGAGAGACAAAAAGAGGTACCAAAGTAGCAAATAGAGAAGAGAGAGATAACAAATAAGACGACAGATAAAGACACACTGAGAGAAGCGGTGAAGAATCCCCTTAAAATTTCCAGTTAAAAAAAATTAGCATAACATGACAGAAATTCACAAAAACAAAACAAAAAAATATATACCTAATTTTACCCATTCCGGCCACAGCCAAGACTCGTGTGGTGCTCCTCTGAATATACAAGAGATAAGGGTGAGAGAACAGCACGTGTCAGACATTAAAGCCTGAACATTCCGTATATAATGTAATGTATTCATCACGTAAATACAGACAACCCTCACTGGCCCCCGTAACTGCTCTCACAATTATATAAATACGTCAACACATCATTTAAGCAGTAAATAAGAATAAGAAAAAAAATTGGGTGGTGGTAATATTTTTTTTTTTTTTACTTTAAAGTTCATTTCTAAGATTCAATTTCGATTTTTGTATCAAATATTTCAGAAGACATTTCCTTATCGCGTCTCTCCCGTTGCTCACTCGCCATCACTGTATCTTGAAATGTTTGTGATGTTATTTCAATTTATTACTATATATATATATCAAAGTACAGATATAACCCACATAAACATTATTAAATACCCACAAAATTAATTAGATTTGTGAAGCTCTACTGTATGCCTGTGTTCATACTTCATGTTGTTATTGCCTGATTTTATCATATTGGTCGGTGAGCTGTTTTTATGGCGTTTTCTTCCTAGTCATAAGTGCCGTTGAATAATAATAATAATGATGATGATGATGAAACGTAATGAAAAAATCTCACTCTTATTTTGTTTACGAATATGTACAGTAGAATTAGTACCAAAGCAGTAGGAATATTTTCATCATAATCACATCACTGAATATTGTCATCAAATCATTCTCTCATATATTTGTCTCTCCTCCCCAGTCAGTCGTCGTCAACGCCTCACTCCGGGATCAGCGTCGTCGTCTTCAGCCACTTAGAAGTCTGTCACCTGAGGAACACACGAGCATAACTCGAGGGAACGATTAGCACAACGAGGTGGTGAGTACAACCTTCTGACTCTGAATGTCTTAGTTTGTTGATGTTGATTGTCTTTAAAGGAAGCGTTTGTTGATGTTAAGAAACTCGAAATTGTTTTTAAAGGAAAATTTTGTTAATGGTAAGAAAGCCGACATTGTCTTAAAACAAGTGTGTGTTGTGTTAAGAGACCGAAATTATCTTAAAACAACGAGTTTGTTATGTTAACTCGAAATTATCTAAACAGGAGACGTGTTTGTTGGTGTTAAGAAAGTCGACAATTGTCTTTAAAACAAGCGTCTGGGAAAGAAACTCCCTGACCAAAACATCTTAAGATATGTAACTTTTAAAGCGGAGTGTTGGACAATTAGACTTTCAGCCCCCAAAAGTTTTCAACTCCCAAGATGTCTAAGGGGGAAATATCGAGGGGCCGAAGTCTGTCTGCTGCGGAGATGTCCGAGGGGGGAAAATACTGAGGGGCCGAAGTGTCTGTCTGCGGTGGAGATGGTCGCACATTCCAACCCGCGAACTACATACTACATATACTGGTGAAGGCTATAGTATGAGCGGCGGCTTAGTGTGTCCAATAATACTGTACTCGTCTGTTCCCTTCCCCCCACAACCCACACAACGATCACCACCCACCCCCTTCCCGAAAGACACGCACATAAACACGCATATCCTACCCACACCCACACACTGTTTGTAACTGGTGCGTCCCTCCTTGTTTCCCTCCCTACCCAACACCCCCACATTACACAACACTCCACTTTCAACAATATCAACACCCCACCTCTCTAAAACACCACACCACTTCAAAACACCACCCCACTCTAAAACACCACCCCACTTAAAAACAACACTACCTCTACTAAAATACCACTTACCTCCAACACCTCACCTCCAACAACAATAATAACATCTCTACCTCTATCAACACCCCCCACCTACAATAACAACAACACCTCTACCTCCAACAACAACAACACCCCACCCCAACAACAACAACAACACCCCACCTCCAACAACAACAACAACACCCCACCTCCAACAATAACAAAACATGATCCACCGGGAGAGAATTAACAGTGGCTGACTTGTGTTCTCTCCAAAATATCAGACTGTAAGAAATAAAGCGTCTTTTAGGTACAATTTCCCACTGGACAATTAAGCTTTGGACAGCTCCTCGCTCAGAAAATGAAAAGCAATACCTCCCCGCAGACGACTCGTTAAAGCTGTACTCTGGATTCAGTCTCTTTATTTGCTGGAATGTTGTGTGGATTTGTTCAGAAACATAGCATCATAAGGGGTAAGGTAGAGAGGCGTGGTGGTAATGGGTGGGGTGGTAGGGCGTGTGTGTGGGGTGGGTAGGGGCGTGGTGGGTGGGTGTAGGGCGTAGTGGTAATGGGTGGGGGTGGTAGGGCAGTGGTTGTGTGGTAGGCGTAATGGGGGTGGTAGGGCGGAGTGGGGGGGTGGTAGGGCGGTGGGTAATGGGGTGTGGGGTGGTAGGGCTAGTGGTTGGGGTGGTAGGGCGGTAGGGGGGGTAGGGGCGTGGTAATGGGTGGGGTGGTGGCAGGGGTAGTGGGGGGTGGGTAGGGGTGGGTAGGGGTGGGGTGGTAGGGCGTGATGGTAATGGGTGGGGGTGGTGGGCGTAGGGTTGGGGGGTAGGGCGTGGTAATGGTGGTGGGGGGTGGGTGGTGGGTGTGGGGTGGTAGGGCGTGGTTGGGTAGGGCGTGGTGGTAGTGGGTGGGGTGGTAGGCGTGGTGGAGTGGGGGTGGTAGGTGGTATGGGTGGGGTGGGTGGGGGT